AGTGTATAGCCACTAGAATACCAATTCAGCCCTATATTTTGATTCATCTTGTTTTTATTTTAAAGGCTGTTTTTCTGTTTGTTCATTTGTTGTTTTTTGTTTTTCAACACAAGGTTTCTCTGTATAGCCCTGGCTCTCCTGGAACTCACTTTGTAGACCAGGCTGGCTTTGAACTCAGAAGTCCATCTGCCTCTGCCTCCCACTGGGATTAAAGCCATGCTCCACCACTGGCCCGCTTCTCCATCCCCCCACCCCCCAACCCCCGTGTTTTGAGACAGGGTTTCTCTATGTAACCCTGGCTATCTTGGAACTCACTCTGCAGACCAGGCTGGCCTTGAACTAAGAGATCCACCTCTAAAGACTGGTTTTCTAGGGATTCCCCCTGTGTCTGTATAGTTTAGTATTCAGCCATAAATTAATTCAATATTCATACGCCTTGAGACGGCAAGAGTTTTGTGTACTACTAATGGATCCAAGTGTGCACTGAAGGATTAATTAAAAATCCCACTTGTTTTTTATATCTGCTTACCTCTTATGTCATGTGCTTCTCTTTGTTCATGTATGTAGGCATTATCAGCTTGTAATGTTCCCGTGAATTAAGCTACCCAGGTCTTTGGAATATAGGCTCATGGTTTCTGGTCTACTTGGGAAACGTGGAGAGTTTATACAAGCCTCTGTGACTGTGTCACCTTGTGTGAATTTTATCATACACACACACACACACACACACACACACACACACACACACGTGTGTGTGGTGTGTGTGTGTGTGTGTGTGTGTGTGTGTGTGTGTGTGTGTGCTGTACATGTGAGCATTGAGGCCGCCAATTGCTCTGCACCTTATTTTTTTGAGAAAGGGTTTCTCACTGAATCTAGAACCTGAATATTCAGCTAGACTGATTGGTCAGCAAATCCCTGGGATCCTCCTGTCTCTGCCTCCACAGCATGGGAATTACAGGCGTGTGCGGCCATGTTTGGTTTTTGATTTTGTTTTGTTTTACAAAGGTGTTAGCAATCTAACTTAGGTCCTCCTGCACATCAGGCGCTTTACTGACTGAGCTCTCTTTCCAGCCTTCTCTCCAACTTTGAGAATTTAGGTCCCTGCCTCTTTACCAATCACTTGCTTACTCTACAGTCACAGGAAGCCCATTTGCTTTTAGTTGAACTTAGGTGTCAATGGAATGTGGATAGGAGACTTCCTGGGAGCTGCATTAATCTGAAATTCAGTAGTTTGTATGAATAAGCACTTAACAGTTTATGGTAGGTCTTTAATTTTATTTCTAGAGACAATAATTTTATTTTCAAAATCAAGGTGTTGAGCTTTCCTTTCACTTTATTATTTTGTTTTGTTTTTGTTGGTTTTGTTGTTTTAATTTTTTTTTAAGATTTATTCATTTCTTTTATGAATGAGTGCTCAATCTGCATGTACACCTTTATGCCAGAAGAGGGCATCAGATCCCACTAGAGATGGTTGGGAGCCACCATGTGGTTGCTGGGAATTGAACTCAGGACCTCTGGAAGAGCAGCCAGTGCTCTTACCTGATGAGCCATCTCTCCAGCCCCATGTTTGTTTGTTTTTTGAGACAGGGTTTTTCTGTGTGACAGCCTTGACTGTCCTAGAACTCACTTTGTAGCGCAGGGTGGCCTCAAACTCACAGAGATCCACTTACCTCTGCCTTCCCATAGCTGGGATAAAGGCATGCACCACCACATCCCGCTAAATCTACACTTTCAGACTTTATCCTGAGGTTTACCTCTGGAGTCTTCAGAATAATGGTCATCTCTGCTCTCCATGCTTTCACAATTCTGGATCCCAAGAATAATGTCTATGTCTTAGAGAAGTGCTCAGTAAAGACCTGCATTCATAGTGGGGTAAGGATCTTGTTAGAGAAGGGTACCTCATGTGGAGAATTGGGGCATCTGTCTCTGAATTTTAGAGTGGTTTCAACTTTCCTTAGTGGCTGACTTAGCATCTTTTTCTTTTAATTTCAGATTTCAGCTCGGTTACCTATGGCTTCCCCTAAAATTGCTTCCCTCTCTTGGGGACAAATGAAAGTGCAAGGCTCTACCTTAACCTATAAGGATTGCAAAGTATGGCCAGGAGGCAGTCGGGCTTGGGATTGGAGAGAAACGGGAACTGAGGTAAGACTCCATGCCGGCGGAGGAGAGTGCTGATCAGGAGAATCACAAGCCATGGTTGCCTTTCTAGAGCTTTATTGGG